GCACAGCTCTGGCTAAAAGAGCTTAATCAAGCCTAAAGTCACTGCCATGTTATATAAAGACTTGAACGTGCTTTGCAAAGTTACTGAACCGAACTCAACTGCGACCGAAGATTTGAATTGCTCCCGGATCACGTGCACTTCGCTAGTCTCCAAATACACACACCCAATGGCCCACACTGTTCATCATCACGAACTTCCTCATCACACTGTACTTTATATGAAGTATCGACAGCACTGTCGTAATTTATACCGCTTCAAGTTGACGCGTTGATTCGGGCAGTTATAAACTTTATGTTTTATTGATAGCGCATTCATTAACATTTGCCATAATTATTTCATACTTTTCGTTAATATTTGGTTCTAGCCTTTATGCTGGCTGTTTCTGGTAGTCGTACATAAAATCGGTCAGATGTGTGACCTATCTTTGTTAAGCACCCCTAAGCCGTTTTAGCTAATAGAATTTCAGCACTTCCATTTTTGCCTATAGACCTACTACTTCTGCTTTTGCTTAAGAGTTAAATCTAGTAGTTGATACTCCATTTAGCGGATGTGCTTCCCAACTTTATGTCATTAATGCGTCATATAACACTATATTATATATATTATACTATATATACGTATATATATGTTATATATCATATTATATATTATTATATATAATATTATGCGTTCTCCATATATGTAGTTGCTGGCTTTAATGTTCATTTAGCGTTTTAGGTCGTTTAAGTGGTTAGCGTATTGTACGTCATTAATCTATTATGATCATTAATCATTAATGATATCAAAGTTGGGAACACTCTCTAAACGCTGAGCTGCTTAGCCCCTAAATCTAACTCTTTACCAACGCCAATTCTTGCACAATTTGTCTAATATACATACACTTACATAACCTACAATAACATGCATATACATTGTAAAATGTTGTGCAATGTTAGTTATAAGTAGTAACAATCTGTACATGTGAACAATCTTACATTATTACTAAAGACGTTATACCAAAAGTGGTGTGCTGCAATCAAAATATCTCTCTCTCTTCTCTCCCAGATAATTTCATCTTTTGCAGGTCGTCTACGTTACTAGTGGATATCGGTGTAAAGTGATATAATGTGCAATATGAGGGTTGTCTTGCGTATACACATACGCAGATAATAGATAATAGTCACACAAGACATCGTTTTCATAAAACTTCGTTCGCAAAATCAACAGTACAAGATTAAATGATGTTCTACACTCTAAAGGGCTATCAGACATCAGTTATATATAATCAAGAGTCCATAATAAAAAACTTTCTATTATCTACTCCTGATATAATGTATCACAGTGTAGCATAAATACTATAAACGCGAACAAAACGTTATTATCTATAAACATATATATACAATCTGATAATATATGCGCAGAGATCTATCGTTCGTTTTCACTCGCGCGCTCATTCGGTGCACGTCGTTCGCGTTTTACACTCTGCCATTCCACTGCAGTTACTATCTGTCGTAGTTGGCGTAGGCCTCTTGGTATTGGTCGACAACACACTCTTAATTGAATCGTCATTCTTTATATGATCGTCTATCGCTCATTTGTTTGGCGTGAGTCGCCGTTTCTTTGCTTTCTTTTTTCATTTTTTTTATCCTGCTCTTTTCTTTCTTGCTTGATCCGTCTGCTGTCTTCAGCTGCTTCGTGCTCGTATTTGTTTGTGCGGGCACGGTGGTGTCTTTTCCAGGATAGGCTGGAGGTGGGTCGTCGGCAACCGTACCGATGGTCACCAAGTTATGTGTCGACTGTTTTCCTACGCTCCAGCCTGCGCAGCTAGTCGCCGCGGCATTCTCGCGCTAGCTACAACTCTCCAATTACAGTAGTAGCAGATGACCGAAAACACGACAATGAACAAGACGATGATGGAGACGACATTGAACAGATTCGGCCACCGACCAGCCGACTGCGGCGGATCGCACGCCCTCTCGTCGCTACCGTCCTCGCAGTCGTTAAAGTTGTCACACTTGAAGCCACCAGGAATGCAGTTGCCGTCGTCACACGTAAAGCTGGACAGTGGACACGACGTGCCGAGCGCTGCTTCTGTCCGGCTGTCGGCGTACTCGCATTCCGATAGCGTCGCCACGCACCTGCCGTCGGCACACTTCTCTCTAGTTGGAGCGACACACGCTCTCATCGGTGTACACGAACACAGCGCTGCCAGAAAACACACGAAACCTAGAATTCGGCTGCGCGTCGACATTACTATACCTATAGCACAGTGTGCACAGAATGTGGTCCAAATTCATATCACCTTCCAACGAAATAAATAACAGGTATGGCGCTATAGTACGTATATCATAAAGTTTCGTCACCATATACGTCACGGTGATCACGTGCTGCAATGTTAAGCCGTTTCCCTAACACGTACATTGTAACATTCCGGGAAACTCTACCGGATATATTATAGCTGTAGGTTCGCTCAGGCAGCACTCACGCACGTCACGCACAGTATAGGTGTTAGGCAAATAAATATGTGTCACTGGCATCCATATTACTAGACGTTCAGCGCGTTCGCTGACTCGTAAACTAGATCGTATAATAGTGGAAATGTTTCCGTGCACGCTAACGGCCTGAACAGGCTGACGTCATAACCAGATAATGACGTCCTAAGAGGTGCGGATCTCGATTTGCTTCGGTACGTCTATTGCCTGACGTACGACTAAAACCTGTTTGCGTCTGCCCGTATAAATGTCCCGTGCAAGTGACATCTATAATGTTAAAAATAGTAAGTGTGCTGGATCCACAGGTAGTATATCGCGCTTGGTGCTTGCTGGAATCTAGTTGTCCCCTTACATTATTATACTACTATATATCTATACTTAAATAATTATAGTAGATAAACAAGCCTCGCATACCTAACTGCATGAGAAGTAAGTAGGTTAGTGTATGTCTATGTATATATAAACGAACTTCCTGAGAAAGTAGCAGTGTGTATTGCGTGCGTGTGTGTGTGTGTGTGTGTGTGTGTGTGTGTGTGTGTGTGTGTGTGTGTGTGTGTGTGTGTGTGTGTGTGTGTGTGTGTGTGTGTGTGTGTGTGTGTGTGTGTCCGTGCGTGCGGTGCGTGCGTGTGCGTGTGTGCGTGGTGTGCGTGTGGTGCGTGCGTGCGTGCGTGCGTGCGTGGTGTGTGTGACTTAAATGCCATCAACCTATGCTATACTTTTCTCTAGAGAATGTGCCTTTTTAGTTGGAGGAGTTACTCGTAGGGCAATTAGAGTAGTCTTTCCAATGTTTTGCGTATCATTATTTGTGATGATGATTATTATCATCATTATTTTTTTCAGTGCAACATTTTGCCGCTTTTTCAGTGCAACATTTTAGCGACAAAGCAGGGCAACGATGGAAGCGATTCGATATCATATCTAAAAGAAATCATCGGCCGTTGTTTAGTCCGGTAGGTGAAGCATTTAGTGTAGCTCAGATTTTTGTTTTGCGAAATAAATTATAACAAAGTAATCTTCGTTGTCCCTGTAGCATGTCTTGTAGTTTTTGTAATCGACGTATGGTAAGCTATACTTCTTATTTTCCTAGCAATGTTCACATTCCAGAATAATATATGAATTAAAGTACAGTGTAATCGACATACTTTATTTATTATATCTATGGTTATTAACAATTTTTAGAATTTGATAAAGCTGCCGTTACAATAATGCTTAACATTTATGCGTGTATATGCGGCTAATTCATAAATAATGAATGGCTCCATGTTTGTCTGAAACTAACTTATTAAATACTACTATATTATTACCTGTATAGATAGCATTATTCTTTATGTATCGATAATTTTAATCAATTTTGTAATAACATGACAATAATTCAAAATTATAATGTCTTGTATTGCAAAGCGAAGAGAAAATGTTTTTTAATTTGTTTTTGTACAATGTGTACACACCGGTGTGCATAAATCCGCGGGAAACGACAATATTCATTACAAAACCACTATGTAACATATTCGTCTTGCTTTCAAAGTGAACTTTAATTCTCATACATAATGAAATAATGATGTTTTTAACAGCTTTCATCCTGTCCAAATGGATCACAAATGTTTCGAGCAATGATTGACGATGCCGATGAGTCACAGAGTTACCCCAAAGGCTCGTTACCACCTCAAACTTCACTAGTCACTAAAATAATGTGAGGAGATTCATCATTTATATGTTGAAATAGATTTTCAATTGCCGCTTTATTCCTTTTTATCTACGTTGCTGTGGCATTTTATTCTGGTGCATGTGTGAGATTTTTAGCATAGCTGTTAGAAGGGCATTTGCTTGACCTCCAAGATGCGTAGGCTACTCGGAGCTGGCGCATTAGATACGAATGCTCCTTGCGTTATCTTAGCTAGAGGGCCCGTATTTATTTGGCACCCTTTCAGCACTCAGTTAATTAATATGGGTATCATTACTTCAAGAAATCTACAATGGTGGGGTTCGCAGGAGTTATTTGGCTTTTCCACGTTTTGGCATTGTGATTTAAAAATGCTTCGCAAGATGGCGGCACCATCCTTCGCCTGTCACGTAGACGACAAATGCTTTGTCTACTGTGCTGTTGTTAATTTTGTTTTATCGTAACGAACATAATGTCAACTACAAAACTCGCTAATACTATTCCGACTCTCATTCACACCTGCCGCTATCATCACAAACAAGATAGAACACTGCGTTTCCTTTAACATTACTAGTCAAATCGGACAGCAAGAGATATAGNACCCTCATAACTCCTAGTCACTTAATAGATTTAGATGTGGAGGATTCATATTTTAATGTTGAAATAGATTTTCAATTGCGCTTTATTCCTTTATCTACGTGCTGGCATTTTATTCTGCGTGCCATGTGTGAGATTTTAGCATAGCGTTAGAAGGCATTTGCTTGACCTGCCAAGGATGGTCCGTAGGGTACTCGGAGCTGGGCATTAGATACGAATGACTCCTTGCGTATTCTAGCTAGAGGGCCGTAATTATTTGGCCACTTTCAGCCACTCATCTAAATTATATATGCGGTCATCTCGATTCTTCAAGCACATCTATCGAATGGCGTGGGTTCGCATGCGAAGTTTTGAGTGTGTGTCGTGTTCTGCCAACGTGTGTTTGGCATTGATTAAAAAAGCTTCGCAGATGCGGCACATCCTTCGCCTGTCACTTAGGACGACAAATTTAATGCTCCTCTGGACGGATAGCTTCTAATTAATAAAAAAATGTAATCATCCGGCATCGTCAATATCATTTTGCTATGCGAAAATTTGTGAAGTCTATTTTGATGAGGTGGTAACGACCTTGTCTACTGTGCTGTTGTTAATTTTGTTTTATCGTAACGAACATAATGTCAACTACAAAACTCGCTAATACTATTCCGACTCTCATTCACACCTGCCGCTATCATCACAAACAAGATAGAACACTGCGTTTCCTTTAACATTACTAGTCAAATCGGACAGCAAGAGATATAGCAAAAGGTTCAGCTCAGCTAGAATCACTGTCACTGTCAACCAGCTGTACATTACTAGGTTGTTACAAGTACAATATGGTCAAATAGCGCTCACGTCACATGTAAATACTACGTGATAAACCACTAACATGGCGGAGGGCTTGTCGTCCTGTTGAGTAATACCCCGCTAAATTGAGCCATTTTCCTGGTCGCTGTCAGCAAGTAGATGTGAAGCAGATCGAGTTCATTGTGGCTGCGAGTAGAAGTTGAGAGGATGTTGGTCCAGCGTTCTATAATGCCGTGAATTAGGTGGCAGGTGGATCGATTTTAATCTGTCGAATATAAAGGAAATGTTAGCCCTCCCATGCATAAATAAACGCACACAGGCATGCACACACACACGCGCGCGTGCATATTTCTATCGCAAAATTAGTTGACACAAATTCAAACTACTTTATTTCAGTCATGCGTAGATGATTTACATTATTTATAATATTCTGGCACAGAAAATGTTATGACAATACTTGTGTCCCATAAGAAGTACAAATGATGACTGTATAGACATATTTCTACTCAGAAAACGGCAGGAAAACTAAGCTGTAATCTAGCTCTCACGCAGAACTTATAGCATACGTATATGGTATAGTAGAGTAATACAAAACTTACTATCAATACATCGGCGACGGGATTCATTCATTCATCTTCAATGGTGGATCTACGTGTAGCACCTCTCTGCATGAATGCATGAAATACATAAAAACCAATGTCATTAGGAATTGTTAATGAGTTCTTTCGAATACGAATATAATATATATATATATATAGCTTGTGTGTGTGTGTGTGTGTGTGTGTGTGTGTGTGTGTGTGTGTGTGTGTGTGTGTGTGTTGTT